CCCGCCAGCGCGGCTGCTGCACGGGATAAAAGTAGCAGGGCTGCTCGGCTTTCGCTCCCCAGTCACGCTAGAATGAGATTAAAAGGAAAGGAGGACAACAGGCACTGGAGCTCGGATGCCATTGGGCGCCTGCAGTCAAGAGTCCTGCCCGCCCCGGCATTCCCATAGTGGGACTTGAAATAACCAGAGCACAAAATCCACGCTTCAAAACAGCCACCGGTGTGAAACGGGGACCCGCAGCACGCCAGGCAGCTCCAGCCAGCCCCCCAGAGCTGCAGCAGGAGCCCCATGTTCACAGGATCGCCCCAGCTCACAGCCCTTCCCCTGATACTCAACCCCTCACGTGAACGTTTTGCCCCTGCCGGGTTTTGTCAGTTCAGCTCAGACCTCAAAAACACCTTCCCCGAGATCTGAGGGCAAACAGGCCATAAAATTAAAGCTTTCCGATCGCTTGTTCTAAATTCAAGTGAGCTTTTAAATTTAGCTCTCGGGGATACAAATAGCAACCGGCACCGGCAGCTGCACTGCAGGGAACCAGGAGGCAGGACAGCAAGAGGGGATGTGTGAACTGCACAGCAAGAGGGGATGTGTGAACTGCACAGCAAGAGGGGATGTGTGAACTGCACAGCCAGGCTAAGGGTGTTGTTGGCAAATAACACCATCTTAAAAAGCACGATAAATACGTTAAACATCAGACTTGAAGGAAAGAGTAAAAGAAGTGTTGATTAGGAAGGAAAACATTTTGTTAAACAACAACAAAACCCCTGCGGTGGCTGAAACCTCCATCTCCTCGCAAAGCTCTTGTGGCCAAACACAATTAAGCGCCAAAAACCCCTCCTGGGTGTTCACTGACCCTGCCTGCACAACCCAGACTTTCCACACTGCCACTCGCAGTAAGTGAGGAGACCACAGACAGTGCCAGTGGCAAGCAGCAACTGTAATTTCAAATATTCCTTCCCATATCCCATCAGTGCCCCTTTGCTGGGGGACAGGGAAGCGCTGGCCTGTGCTCCAGCCTCAGGCTGTGTCCATTCAACAGCCCCGGGAAGGAGGGAGGGCAGCGGGCAGTGCTGCTGCCCTGCGGGGTGTCCCCGGGGGGACGTGAAGCACAAGCAGGGACTGTCCCAGACCCAGGCACCCCCAGGCTCAGGGCACCCCCAGACCCAGGGCACCCCCAGGACGCAGGGCACCCCTAGACCCAGGCACCCCCAGGCTCAGGGCACCCCCAGACTCAGGGCACCCCCAGGCTCAGGCACCCCCAGGCTCAGGGCACCCCCAGACTCAGGGCACCCCCAGGCTCAGGCACCCCCAGGCTCAGGGCACCCCCAGACTCAGGGCACCCCCAGGCTCAGGCACCCCCAGGCTCAGGGCACCCCCAGACTCAGGGCACCCCCAGGCTCAGGCACCCCCAGGCTCAGGGCACCCCCAGACTCAGGGCACCCCCAGGCTCAGGCACCCCCAGGCTCAGGGCACCCCCAGACTCAGGGCACCCCCAGGCTCAGGCACCCCCAGGCTCAGGGCACCCCCAGACTCAGGGCACCCCCAGGCTCAGGCACCCCCAGGCTCAGGGCACCCCCAGACCCAGGGCACCCCAGACTCACACCACGGCCCGTGCTGTGCCCACAACCCAAGCTCCAAGTCAGCAGATCCGTGTGGCCAGAGCCATCCCGGGTATCACTTACCCCCGACCACTCCTGCCCTCCCCCAGCTGCCCCTCTCAGCTCCACCCAGCTCTTCCCTGGTCAAAATCAACCCCCCCTTGCTTTGCTTTCCATCCAAAAGATTAAATCATTGCTGCGAGGCAGGTTGGATGTCCCAGCTCTGTCCTTCTGCTCCCGAGAGCAGGAGGGGAGGCTGTTCCCCGGGCCGCGGCAGCAGGGCCCGCCCAGGCCCATCCAGCCCCCAGGAGCCCCGGGGGAGCCCGGCCCCGCGGGGTTGGGCCTCTCCGAGCCCCGAGCAGGCCCGGCCACCCCCCGGGATCAGCCCAGGCCGCCCCCGCCACCC